GAGAGAGAGAGAGAGAGAGAGAGAGAGAGAGAGAGAGAGAGAGAGAGAGAGAGAGAGAGAGTGTTGCTGTGCGCCGCGGCGTAGCCGTGGCGGGTTCCACTTGTATATATGTATAAAAGGAGGCCTTCTCCTCATCCGGGATATATCTCTCTCATGACACATTTTTTTAACTGGCGTTCTGGCATATCATCATGGAACATATCTTTCTTTCACTACCTACCTACCACTACTCCTATTAAACCACCAGTACCTCGCTCAGCTATTGAATCCTAGCCTCCCAGCACGCTGCGCGCCAAGTCCTGCCGAACCACCGTCGCAATTTTCGTGATATATCTCTCTCACGACACATATTTTGAACTGGCGTTCTGCCATATCATCATGGAACATATCTTTCTTTCACTACCTACCTACCACTACTCCTATTAAACCACCAGTACCTCGCTCAGCTATTGAATCCGAGCCTCCCAGCACGCTGTGCGCCAAGTCCTGCCGAACCGCCGTCGCAATTTTCTTTTCCGTTTTGCCTGCGGCCTCCACCCAATGCGGTTCGGCAGGCCGAAGCCCAAATGGCGCGGCGCGTATACGGGAAGCGCCGCGGCCTATAGCTGGGCCAGGTTCTGGTGGTTTAAAGCTTTACACGGGAGCCCTGCAAGGATAGCTTTCTACCTCTCTTCGGTGAAGGGAGATTAATGGTATGTTTGTTGGGGCTGCCGGTGGAGGCCCGACTAACACAAGGACATAGCATTTGCCTGCCTCCCTTTTCATCTTCCCCACCCCCATATGGTACAACTACTAGCAAGTAGTGTCTAAAGCCAACACTCTCCCACACACCACAAGCAACCCACTCACAGGTGCACTCACACCCGTGTTGGCCAAAGACCTTACTGATACCAATTGGGAGGATCCAGCTGACTATCTCAGTTGGTTGGCACCAAGAGTGTCACAGGCAGCAATGGGGATTGAGCCCGCGACTTCCTGAATGCCACTTGCATGCCTAACCAATTTGCACTGGACAATATCAAACTATGAAAAGGGGTAACTAGGGGGCAGTTAAGATTTCAGTTTGAAATCCACTTCAGCAATCCTTGGAATACAACACATCCCCACCCGACCCTAAAGCTAGGTTTTATACATTGGCGGCTTTCCACGCATTGTAACAACATTCCAGAAATCGTGACAAAAGGGCTTTTAAAAAAAAAAAAAAAAAAAGGAAAGCTATATTCTTCTCTAATCTATTTCATCTTCTTGGTAGTACCATTTATCTCATCCTCTCACTAGTCTCTGTATAGTACGGGGGAATGTGACGCCCAACCTCACGCCCAGCGCGACTTCCTGATCGGAGTGGGATGGGGGCCTGGAAGTGCGAAAAGGGGTGTGCCAAGGATTTTTGGGGAAAGTGGGGAAGTTTCAGGGGTGTGAATGCAATTACGCGAAAAAGGGGCGCGTGCGCAAGGGACTCAAGGCCCGATGTGGCCAGGGTACTGTGGGCGACGGTTTACGGGGAAGTCCCTCCGTGGAGGAGGCGGTCCCGAAAAGTTGGGCCGTCGGGGGCTGCCACGTGGCGCAGGCCGCTGCGTGTTTGGGTTGGGCCTTCGAAATTTCGGGGTTCTCCGTTTGCCGCTACGTCGGCAATTTCCGCAGGGCGTGCTGGGCCAATAAGGGGCTACGGCCGGCCACGGAACGACGCTAAGTTGATTATACGGGAGAAGAAGGCGAAAAGGAGGGAAACTGGTGGTGATGACGACGAATCCCGGGTGGATGAATTAGTAGGTATGGTCTGGGAAGGGAAATCAGAGCATCGGGGATCGCTAGAGGTGGCACAGTGGAATTCCCGCGGACACAGTCGATTCTCCGTGTGACACGGATATCGCTATCGTAAGAGTTCGTTTATCCAGGGGGTGAAATAATCCGAGTCGTAGGATGAGTCTGAGCTCCAAGATCGCGTCATGGTGTCATCGTGTATGGGATAACTCGGGTCGGGTTACCGTCACCGCGCGCGAGCACGTGCAGGACAGGTGGACTTAGTTGCGCCTCAGCGTGCTCGTACGGGATGACGGTTCCGCTGCGAATCTTTTCTGGGTGGGCGAATCAGCGCACGAGGATGCGTGTAAACGCGCGATTCGGATCGCATTTACTCATGTCCTCGCGCGGCGTTCGCGGGGCCCGGCGTCGGATCGTCTAATTGCTCCGTAAGTTTGGTTATGCAAGATGCAATCACACCACATCCCATTCATGAGACAAGCAAAAACGAGGGCAAAATCGCTATCGGGGCCAAATTCTTATCCCCTTTTACAACTGCATCAGGTGCAGGCAAAAATTTGACACAAGCGAAAGCAAAGACAAGGATTCTCAGTAAGAAGACGGACAAGCAAACATAGCATCCATACATCCATACATCCAACAATCATACACATAATGCAATCGAGACGGTCATCGCAAGGACAAGTGTGAGCAAAAACCCAAGTCCAGATTCCAAAAAAAAACGAAGGGAAAACAAAAACAGGCAAACCGCCCGGAGCCGCAATCAAAATTTATATACACAGATAGAGAGGGGGAAGAGACAAAGAAACAACAAATCCGTGTCCATCGACATCAACTCTCTCTTCCTCCTCTCTCTTCTCCGATGCGGACAGTCCGTCGTCACGCACCAACCCACGAAGTCGTCACCCCGCTTAGTCCTCCAGCACCAGTCAGATTCGCCCGTGCCCATAGTGCGTCGTGGCCCACGTCAATCCCGCGTGTTCGGCACCAGCCTGTCGGGTCGCCCGACCTCTACTCTACTCACCTTGTACTTCGCTCGTGTGTCGACCCTTCCTGATCGCGCAACTCCGAGCCTCCAACAACAGGTTAAGAGAGCTAACTAATCGCGCAGCCGGAATTTATAGCGTGCATGCATGCGCGAAGAGCACGAAATTACCAAGACTTAGAGGGGAGATTAGA